CGAGAGCACATTTATTAAAGCTGAGGACAGTGAAACAAGGATTTAGGATAGAAGAAGCAACAGGGGAGCCTAGGCAGGGCTGCTTTAGCTCCCTACAGATGTTAGGAAAGAAATGAGCCTGGATGAGGCTGCTTTGGCTCACTTGAAAGCCAGAAAGGGGGCCTTGGAGATGGGTTCAGGGGGTAAGCTCGGGACAAGCTGCCACTGCCCATTACTCCCCTGGTTGTAAGTCTCATGGTGTCCCTTAGAGTTTAGGAGATGCATGCCTGTGGGGGGAGAAAGGCATGGGTGGGAGGGAGAGTAAGCTAATGTAGCTTTAACCGAAGGATATTTGGTTAAAAATGGTTCAAGTTTCCTGGTGCTGCTGAAGCTTGTGGTCCAGGACCTCTGGTCAAGGTAATGGTTTGAGAGTAACTTTCCTTTGTGGATAAATTTAGGAGGATAATTTAGAGAAAGAGGCTGTCTTTCAGGTTTCCTCTTTTCTCTAAGTGAACTGTCCAGCAATCTTTGGAAGAGAGACTTGTATTGAAAAAAATCTAGGCGACTTTTATCTGATCTTAAATTTCAAAAGTTAAGTGTATAGATATTGGTAAATTCTCATAAGCCAGGCATGTGTGAAATTGGATGTATTTTTTTCTACACATTGAAAACTCGGAAACATTCTTGATATTTCTGAGTAACCTTTGCCTAGTCCATGGGTTTATTCTGTTTGATTTGCATTCCTCTAAGCAAGTTTGGCATTTTAGGTGAGATGAAACTTGTTTGTACATGTGTGAAGCATGGGATTTAAGCTCCTTCATTGGCTAAGCATTGCTAGTTGAACTTTCTATGTTGAAATTGGCCCTCCCTGCCTTTGTTAGGTTCATGTCTGGGGAGTGCTCCAAAGGTGAGCCTACTCTGTAGAATCCCCCTGGGTCTTCTGCACCTTTTTGCTCAGAGCCAGGGTTGGGAAATGGGCCTGCAGCATACATGTTACTGTTTCTGGTGCTCAGCTGTGACTTACGTATGAGCCATTGTTTTCCCAATCCCAGTGCTTGCCTGGTAGAAGTTCTGGCATATTACTTGAGAAGAGCTAGGTTTCCTTACATAAATTTAGAGAATTAGGGATAGTGGCAGTTTGGCTTTTGCAGTAAGTGGTAAAATTAAGGTTTTGAAGTCAATTCAACGAACAGAGCACAACAGAGTGTGGCTCCACGGTCTTTAAAAAACAGTTCTCCTGTGCTTTCTCTGTAGGTGTTCCAGAGGGATGGCAACGATTTGCACATGACATATAAGATAGGACTTGTGGAAGCCCTCTGTGGGTTTCAGTTCACATTTAAGCACCTTGATGGACGTCAGATTGTGGTGAAATACCCCCCTGGCAAGGTCATTGAACCAGGTGAGTCCTGTTTTTCTCTGGTCCAGGGTTCCATGTGCTCTTCTGTATGTAATGTGTAATTTTTTTTTTTTAGTAGGTGACTCTTTAAAGAATATTATTGAACACCTTGGATAAAATTCTTAATACTTTCCCCGTTACTTATCCAAATAATAGGATGTGTTCGTGTAGTTCGAGGTGAAGGAATGCCACAGTATCGTAATCCCTTTGAAAAAGGTGATCTTTACATAAAGTTTGACGTGCAATTTCCTGAAAACAACTGGATCAACCCAGACAAGCTTTCTGTAAGTGTTTCTTAAATTTAAGCAACAGATGACTGCCTTCAAGTGTAATAGTAGTTGTGTTTCTTTGTCATCTTCCATTTATTTGTGGTGCTAAGATTAGATCACAATATGTAAAATTTTGTTTTTTAAATATTTGAGTGATTAATGGCTGTCCCAGTTATTAAAATGAGGATTGCTGGTGTCAGTGTTTATGGTACCAAGGAGGGGTAGTAAAGGAGTAGAACTGACTGAGTGTGGTGTGCTTGTGGGAAGGTCGACTGCTGGAGAGCAGGTCCCTCACCTGGTGGCACCCCCCTCAGCCTAGTGTCGGCTGGTTCTTCATGCAGGAAGGCCTGTCTGCTGTAAAATTTTCCAGTGTTTCATAGTTGGCAGCTATTGGTTTGTTTTTGTTTTCTAAGCAATAGTTGGGCTGCACAAAAGATGTCTGCAGATTTGGCCTGTGGTCATCAGTTTGTGATCTCTGGCTTAAAGTGCAAAGGCATCGATGTTAAACTTCAAAGAAGCATACACCTTGGATTGCAGAATGAAAAGGGAAATTAATGAAGATATGTTAATTCCCCCTCCTTTTTCGAAATATGTTTTATTGATTTCAGGGAGAGGGAGAGAGAAACATCAATGATGAGACAGTCATTGATCAGCTGCCTCCTGCACACCCCCTACTGGGGATCAAGCCTGCAACCTGGGTGTGTTTCCTGACCGGGAATCTGTCACCTCTGAGCCACACCAGCTGAGCTGCAGCTAACCTTTTTGTTTGTTCATTTTGTTTTAATGAAGGAACTAGAAGATCTTCTGCCATCTAGACCAGAAGTCCCAAACATAATTGGAGACACAGAGGAGGTAGAGCTTCAGGAATTTGACAGCACTCGGGGTTCGGGAGGTGGGCAGAGGCGTGAAGCCTATAATGACAGCTCTGATGAAGAAAGCAGCAGCCACCACGGACCAGGAGTGCAATGTGCCCATCAGTAAACTGCACACACTAGCACAGGTGGATTCTTTCTCCACGTGTCCTGGTTTGTTTTCAGCGATCCAGCTGGAGGGTCTGGTCAATCCAAATGAACTGATGGACATTTCTTGGTCTATGTGTAACTTTTAAAGCTGGTATAGTATCTACAGAGTGTGTAATTTAAACTAACCACAAAGCTCTACATCTTCATCTGACTGTTCTGTAGCAGAGTAAAGCACTTGAGAGGAAACAAGACTCTTTCACGTGAGTTACAAGTTTCAGCCCTGGCATCCGTGCTGGTTTTTATCGTTTCGTGTAGATTTTTTTGTTTCATATTTGAAATTCAAAGCCCACATTGTAAAGTTTGTGTACAATTTGTCCTGAAGCTTTGTGTTTGGCTGCACCTGCATAATAAGCTGCTACAAATAGAATAAAGAATTTCAGAGCCTGTATCTCTCGTTTAGGTGCATGGGAATGGGCTTTGCACACAGTGGGTTTGGAGCTGACTGGGAACAATGGGAATTACATCAGCTGTGGCTGTCATGTTGTTGGGTTTTTTCTTTTTCTTTTTTTAATCATCTTGTGAAAGGTTTCAAAACTCGATAATAAAGAGTTGGTGTAAATTATTTTTGTGTCACCTTTTTAGGCGGAAGAACACTTTTTTTCCTAATTGATTTTAGAGGGAAGAAGGGAGAGAGAGAAACCTTGATCATTGATCAGTTGCCTCCCCCACATGCCTCGACGGGATCAAACCCGCAACCTGGGTATGTGCCCTGACTGGGAATCAGACCCACCACCTTCTGGTGTATGGGACAGCGGTCCAGCCAGCTGAGCCACCACACCCACCAGGGCAGGAGGAAGGACATATTTTGAACTGCAAAGTGTATCCTTAAACTGGAGAATGTATTTTTGGTTCTGATTCTTAAACAGCCCTTAAAAACCCATTGGCCTGAAGCTGATGCCTCAGGCACACGCCCATTTGATAGTTTTAAAAGGTGAGCGAAAGTTTGCTCTGCTGGTAGGAACTGGCTTTCTTGGCTTCCATTGATGCTTGGTAGAGTCAAGGACATCTGAGTTATGTAACTCATAAGTTACAGCCCTGCGCATTGGGGTAACATAGCCTTTGTACCTCCCCACCGCCACCCCTTTTTAAAAGTAAGGTAACAGCAAATCAATATTAGAACCATGTCTGCATAGAACCTGTTAAAATGCTCTGTTTTCATTAAGTGTTAAGTTAAAGATTCTCTGTCTTCATTAAGTTGAATATTTGTGATTGGGGGAAGCATTGATTATTACTGATGTTTTATAGAAAAGCAAGACTCTTGACTGGTAGGAGAAAAATCAGGCAAAACTACTATGTAGAGGGTGTTGCGTTGCTCTTTGCATCTTCTTACTTCGACCTTTTCATTCCCAGAATGGATATTTTTAGGACACACTTTAATTTTAAGAAAGAGAGACCTCAGTTGTGCATTTTACATTTGTAAGAACAAATGGGAGAAACTGAAAAGTTTTTAAATGTATGATGCCATCTGTGACCTAAATATAACGCTTGTAGTTTATTCCTAGGTCTACTAGAACCTGAATGGGGGAAAAGGTGTCCCGGCATTAATCACCTCCCGTGAGGTTTAAATTACTGTCCTGTCCACTCTACCTCCGTTGTACAAAAACTATTTTACAACCAGCCTGGGCAAGATTCAACAGCGTGGTAGTTTTGTATCCGAGGTTACTTCCCCACAACCACTTTAAGCGTAAGAAATGCAGTGGCAATATAAAGTTTGTAGCCTTTCCAATAAAGGTTTATAAAGCAGCTGTTCAGTGCAGTCTTTCTGTTCTTCTACCCCGGCGTTTGCTAACCTGTGGAAGGGGCACTCTGCGCGGCCCATTGCTCTGCTCTGTGGAGCCTGTCCAGAGAGGAAGCTTCACTAGAGTGTCACCAACACAGAGAATCTCGTAATACAACGTATGCCATGAATGTACATTTTTAAAAGGTGGACAACTCTGGGGGTTAGTATATTCGGAGTTTTGCCACCATCACCACTACCCAGAACATTTTCCTACCCCAGAAAAGAAACCACATGTCCATTAGCATTCACTCCTGATTCCATCCCTGGGGTGCAGTCACTAATCTGGTACGTCTCTAAATATTTGCCTGTTTTGGCCTTCTGGTATAAAATGGAATTTAACACTGCTCGGCCTTTTGTGTTCACTCAGCATGTGTGCAGGGTTCATGCCGCGGTAGCATGAACCAGTACTTCATTTATGTTGCCAGAGAATACTTCATTGTTAGCACGCGTGCCCGCTGACCCATTACAGTCAGTGGGCACGGGTGTGTTCCATTCGGGGTAAGGCTGCTATGAACATCCATGTATAGGTTTCTGTGTGGATGTGTTTTCAGCTCTAGAATGTGCCAGGAGTGCAATTTCTGGGCCCCACAGTAATGTTGGAATCCTTTGAAGAGCTGCCAAACTTTTCCCAAAAGGCGGCACCACTTACAGTCCTGCCAGGACTGGATGAGGGTGTCCGTTTCCACAGCTGCCAACGTGCATATATTTTATTAGAGCCAGCTTGGTAGGAAGCGTTTTGATTTGCATTTGCCTAATGACCAGTGATGTTAAGCATCTTTTCATGCTTACTGGCTATTTGTGTATCTTTGGAGAAATGTCTAGTTTAATCCTTTGCCTGTGTTTGATTCAGATTGTCTTAGTGTTTACCTTTTCCTGTTCCAGGTGACCGTGTTACATTTAGTCTTACCTGTGGGGGTCCTCTTGGTTGGCATAGTTCTCAGACTGTTTTGGGTCGCCTAGACAGTTTTGAGGACGACCTATCAGGCATTTTGCAGAGTGCCCCCTACTAATGGTACACGTGTCAGAGTTTCTGACAGTCCCACCTGCATGAGTCAGTGCACTGTCGTTTCAGTGAAACTGGGAACCCTTGCCCCCCCCGCCAACCATGTGTTCAGGTGTTCAAGTCCAGTAAGAGAATTGTTAACCCACACCCACGAGGGAAACTGTTGAGTACAGTGTTAAGTCTTTAATTTCACAGACTCCATCTCCAAAGTTACTTAGGTCAGCACCTCCCCTAGCCCCTTTGGTGAGATTGTTTCGTATGTTTGTCACAGTTAAATTGTGGTGATGCGTTCTGTATCCACCGCCTCCTAAATGACTGTTTAAAATCTGCATACATTGAGGGTCCCTCTTTGTCTGTAAACTTCAGCGTGTTTTCACAACTGCGTAGTGTCCTGTGCCTACTATCACAGTCCTGCGGAATGGTTTCACCACTAAATCCCTGTGCTTCGCCTGGTCCCCTCCCTGTCCTGAACCCAAGGCGGCACTTCTGCCTGTTTCCCTTCCTGCGTTTCGCACCATTAGTCGTTGGTGTGCAGCTTTCACTTAGCAGTGCGCCCCGAGGCTTTCCCTGCCCTAAGACCCCCGCGTGGCTCACTCATCTTCTATTTGATTTGCAGGTGTTTTTCCCATTTATTGGTTGGCTTTCTTGATGGTGTCTGAAGCACAAATGTTTTTAAACTTTTTGAGTAAGTTTTTTTTCTCATTTCTTGTGCTTTTGGCATCACATAAAGAATTTTAACCAAAATGTGTAACTCTGGAGAAGACCAGGGTTCGTTGTGGTATAGTTGTTGCTTTTTACAAACAGTCACCTGTCTCTGGGGAGTGGTTGGACACTGAATCCCATCTGGTAACTGATAGTCCACGTGGGAAGGCCACAGGGCATTACTGTTCAACCGTGTATCAGTCAGGACTTGGGTGTTTTGTCTCAAGTACTGATGACACCCTCGTGTTGAGAGAGAGCAGCAAAGCTGTGGACTGGCAGGCGTAGCATGAAGCTGCCCCCACATCTGACAGCCACCCACACCAAGGAGTGACTGACACGTGCGTGGGGGCGACACGTTCCTGTCCACCTGTTACATCACCAGAAACTGCAGCCCTGTCATGCCCCAGCTCACAGTGAGGAAGCCGAGTCTCGGCAGTGCCAAGGCATTCCAGAAAAGTCACACAGCTGTTCAGTGAGGAGAGGATTCCAAGTCCAGTCCAAACCCCAAGGCCCGTGCGATTCAAGACGGTGCTACACAACCACGTCAGCAACCCCCAGAGCTGCTCCTCTCTCCACACTCCAGCAAAAGTCCTGGTGGGAATCTCATTAGCCTGATGTCAGTCAGCACCACCCTTGAACCAATCGCCGTCGTCAGGGTCACCAGACCTGGGTGACATGCCCAACCAATCTCACCTCAATGGCATGGCCTGGGCAGTCCCACATTTCCACATAGAAGGGGCTTTGGATTGGAAGGGGACAGCATTCTGCTTGAGGAACATCCACTGTCAGCATGAATGGGGGGGCAGGGAGTGGGTGTTGCCTCTAGTCCTGGCCTTGGTGCTTCTGTCCTTTCCCACTGTCATCTTTGACGAGTGGGAATATTTGTGGGATACCCCTAGAGTACCCTTTCTGACAAATGTGGGGCAGCAGCAGGCCTGAGGACCCCTGAATGAGGACCTTGACAACCTCTGGGGAAAGTCAGCTGTTCAGTATCTTCATTTCCTTCCCTGCAACCTGGGAAGGAGTCTGACAACTCCCAAAGCCAGTCACAGGGTCAAAATGACCACCAGGTGCCAGCCGGTGTGGCTCAGTGGTTGAGTGTTGATCCATGCACCAAGAGGCTGCCAGTTCGCTTCCCGGTCAGGGCACATGCCCAGGTTGTGGGCTCGATCCCCAGCAGGGGGCAGGCAGGGGGCAGCCAGTCACGTATCCCTCTCACATCAATGTTTCTCTCCCTCTCCCCCTTCCTCTCTAAAAAATCAATAAAGACATTTAAAAATAGTAATAAAATAACCACCAGGCTGCATGCAGAGCGAGAATGTACCAGGAAGAATCACCTGACCATGAGAACCTGCCCAGCGAGTAATGCAGAGGGAAGTGAGTTCTCCTGACTGCACTCGTGTGCATGCCCACCCCACCCACCTCCACCCTCGGTGCAGTCTAGTCACAGCATTGGCATATGTGCACAATGTCTATTTTACCCACATTGTCCATCTCAGAGGTGCTGGGTACCAGGCATTGCTTAGGAGCTGTGTGCCCAGGTGTCATTCTAAAGCTGAAATACATTCATGGTGGGCTCGGCTGCTAAGTTAGAGGGCATGTGTTTGCTTTTAAATAAAACTCTGCCAAGCCCTGGCTGGGTAGCTGTTGGTTAGAGTGTCGTCCTGATACACCGGTTGTGGGTCCAATCCCTGGTCATGGCACAGACAAGAATCAACCAATGAAGGCATAAGTGGAACAGCAAACCCATGTTTCACTCTCAAATCAGTAACAAGAAAAATACATTAAGTAAAACAGCGCCGGTGGGGGGCCCATAGGTGACCAGCTCCCCCCCGGGGCTTAAACATTTTTCCATCTGGAAACGTGCTTTCTCTTAGGGATATGACAGCTGTGTGACATGACCAATACAAGGACGTTCGTTGAAAGATGGATTATGACTGTGAGAAAGTAGAAATTACCCGAACATCCCCCATTAAATTTCATCACACCCAGTCAGCGCACAGTATGTAGTTGTTAAGAAACAAGGTTGTAAAGTTTTCTGACATGTTAATTATATAATAGAAAATGCATTTACATGCTGCTGCTGTTGAGACCTATGCCTGCATCCCTTTTTTGAGATGTACACTAAGTTGAAAATAATTATTTCCTTGGCGTTTGAGGTTTGTGGGAGTTTAGAAATGTTTTCATTAGGAAAATATACACAAAAGTCCAGTAATATAACAAACCTCTATACATCCATCGCCGCAGTATTTGGGGGAAACGGTCATTGTACTAGAAATACGTTACACAGAGTGAAGACGTACAGTGAGTCTGCTTGACTGAAACCTGAACTACAGGGAAAGGGAAGCCCAGTGACCATTTCAACGTGTTTTATTTAGAAATTTCCAGGAGAGCTGTCGTCATTAAGTACCTTGCTCAGGAGACTCCTAAGAGAATCGACTAGAAAATGGGACAGGCAGGCCTGTCCGCTCTTCCTGCAAATCAGCACTTTGGGACACTCAGCCCAGCCTCCAGGTGCGAGGTGACGGACCACCCAGGGTGAGCCCAGCATCCGCCACGTGCAGATATAAATGGATGGAAAACCTCACAGGTGTAGATTTACAGTGTGACCCCAAACGACAAATGGCTTCCTCCTCCAGTGGTGCCCAAACAAGGCACCAGAATAGAATGCAGAAAAGGAAATCTATGGCAATCAGTGCTTGTCTAAAGTTAGCCTAACCCCAGCATTCCTTATTATGTTTCTATTCATTTGTTTTAAAAGCAAACCAAGTGTATATGGCATCTTTTTAAAAACCATGTAAACATTGCAAAGATCTTAGGGGTTATTTATAATCCAAAGAGATTTATAAAAAAACTACTGGACTTGTTAAGACTACAAATACTAGCCCACCCTCCACCCATGAAAAAATTGTTACAAAAATATAAAAAATAGACTAGCCTATACTATTTAACCTTTCCACCAGATATCTCACAGCTCTGGGATGCACCCTGGTTTATGTACCATTCAACAAGCCCAAGTGCAACATCTCCATGTTTTTAAGGAGAGAAAAGTTCCCAAATATTCCCTTTGTTACTCAAGGCTGTGGCTGCCTTCTTCATAGGGACTGTGACGCCGGCAGGTAGGGACAGTTGGCAGTTTGCTATTGCATCCCCTGCACGGAAATTGGAGCCAGGGAGGCTGTTTTCAAAACTCACTCTTTGTATTTCTCTCTCCAGCTCCTTCCATTTTATTTTGGGACTTGCTGGGTCCCCAGACTCCTGAGCTGGCCTAGGGTTCCCTAACTGCCCCCTGGGGAGGCTGTTCCTGCCCATAGCTCCCACTTTCTGGGAGTGTAGGTGGGGCCCAGTCAGGTTTGCTAAGCCAGGAAAGCTGCACGCTAGGGGGAGGACACCCCAAGCCTGGAGAGGTGACTGATGCTACAGGACACCTGTCTGTAGTCTGGAGGGGAGCCTGCAGCAAGTGTGGAGGCAAAACACTTTGCATTAAGTTGAAACACTTTTAGACACTCCAAATCGATAGCATGTACTCTCCACAGCAGCCGAGCTACCAGGCACTTTGGCCAATTAATGGGTAGGAAATGGATCAAATGCAGTTTGAAATGACTCAACAGACACTATGGGGACAGGGGTGACTGTCAAGTCCTTGAGGAGGCCCCTCAGTCATTAGAACGTTTTCAGTGTTTCATTGTCCCTGTCACCAGCAGAGGGCGGTGTGTGTACAAAATCAATCGAGCCCTTGAGAGAACCACAGTTGGGGAAAAGCAGGATGGCTACACCCCCCACCAGGCAGAATCACTCTGGGCTGTACCTTCTGTCCCAGCCTAACCATGGGAGGGGACCGGTCACCCCGGAAGCCCTCGTGTGTGCACAGAGTCCTCATTACCTAGGTCAACTGGGATCTTGGCTCACACCCACTCATCCCCTGCAGGACACAGGAAAACATTGGCCGTATCCCTCAGTGCCCACCACCAGCTTGGTATCCTGTGTGACCCATGTGCTCCTGCCCTGACCATCGGGATGAGACAAGCTGTCGCCCTCCGGGCCAGGAGGGGGGGCCCCCTCTGAGCCTGCAGTGGACTCCGGGCTCTCCTGCTGGGAGGGCTAGGTTTCTGCACCAAGGGTTTTATTTCACAGATCACGTGGTGATTGGGGACTTCCAGTCCTCTCCATGGGCAAGCCGTGCATTTCCCAACATCTTGTTTCTCCAGATGTGCAGGATCTCACCCAACACAACCGTGTCGTTCTAACCTCCAGATGAACCTTCCAAGAGCAGCAGCAGCAGATCCCAAGAGCACCGCCACACAGCCTGGCCCAGTCCCCTCTACTTTGGTTGCATCAAAAAAAAACACACAGGGCTTGAGATATCCCCAGTTCACATTGGCTCAGAAGAGAAGTGCTCCCAACATCAAGGCACAAAGAAAGAAGTCTCCTGGGGCAGATGACAATGAACGTGACCAGTGGCCCTTGTGAGGCCTGAGGCAGAGTCACTGGGGGAGGCGGGTGCAGTCTGGGGCATCAGGAAGGTGGGGACCCGTCTCCCGCTGGGGCCCCAGGAGGCCTCATGCGAACTTCTGCAGGAACTGGATGTGAAAGTCCTTCACCTTCTGTAGGACCGTCTTCAGCTTCTCCACCGGAGGGAGGATGGTCATTCTGTCAGGAAAGAGAACAGTGTCAGCCTGGACACAGTCACTCTGGAAAGGGGGAGAGGCGTGAACCCCGCAGCTCAGTGGCCCCTGCAGTCATGGGGAGGGGGAGAGGGCCAGCTGTGGGGGGCGGACGGACCTGCCTGACCGCGGCCACCGCTCCAGCCTGACAGCAGCTGCGACAGCACCCGGCACTTGTCAACCCCCACTCATACACTGTTTACCCAAGTAACACGTGAACCAAAGCAGTAAGCCAGCGGCAGCATTTAGGCCGAGGTCCTCGCCGTCAGGGCGGGTGGCCTGCACGCTGGTGGGTGTGCAGAACCTCGGAGCACGGCTCTCCGTGTTTCCTACAGACAGAGGCCGAACTCCTGCTCGACGAGCCTTTTAAATCTCCACCGGGGTCTTGCACTGGAACCTCCAGTCACAGCCGTCCGTCCGAAGGAACTCCTAAGTCCTCCAGTACTGTCAACACGATCCCAGCCCCAAAAGCAGCTTTCTGGAAGACCCCGAACTGCCGAGGGGAGCCCGGCAAGAGGACTGAATGGCCATCCGCCGTGTTTGTCCACTGGGGCACGCTGCCCACGACCTTGACCGAGTCAAGACTTGGCTCCAGGTGCTAATTAAGCTCATGACATTTCTTTTTTTAGTGTCTGCACAAGGGACATTGGAGAGGGCCCTGCATGGAGAAGGTGCTGTCCTGGACAGATCCGGCCTCCATGGGGAGCCCCGGGGAGTGGCCCCAGCGCGCTCGCCCCGAGTTCCCACCAGGCAGGCGCAGCTGGCTCCTGTGTTTCGGATGCAGAACCTCAGCAGGCTTGTGGGGCAGCAGACGCGCTGCTGAGCCCCAGATGCCGGCTGCGGCTGCCGTGGGGGTGAACGGAGACAGGGGAAGAAAGCACACCACCAGGAACATTGCAGATGGTATGTGATGGATGGAGCAGCAGAGGGGGCCAGACGGCCCAGATGACCCTGGCAGAGGGTTTCAGCCTGGCTCTGCAGTCCAGTATGAAGGTGCAGTGAGGGACAACCCAGGGGAGGCCAGGGCTGCACACATCTCAGTCACCGAAGCCAGACTGTGCTCTACGCTCAGAAGCCCAGGTTCCTGAGACAAGCCCGGGAGCAGCCCCCATGCCGAGAGGTCGTACCTGAAGTGGTAGGTGCCTTCCCTCTGCCCAAAGCCGCTGCCAGGCACGACACAGATGCCCGTCTCCTCCAGGAGCTTCATGCAGTAGAACATGTCAGGGGCCATGCTGTGGGCCTGTGGGAACACGGCAGGACGCAGTTCATGCCCAGCTTCGCACCAGCACGCCACCGAGAACCCAAGCAAGCAGTGGAAGGTAACAAGGCCCTCCCTTCCCCTCCCCACCCCTCCTACGTGGGCCTCGGACATTGGACGCTGCCATAGCTGATGCAGGGAGCAAGGACCTCAGGGAGGGCCAGTCCATCTCCTTTTACCCGCCCCTCCAAGGTAGCAGCTCAACAAGCACTGCCAGTGGCCTCCTCCCCACCAAGCCGCGGAAACCTGTGCCTGGGGCCCTGAGGCCTGCACCGGGGGGCGTGGAGAGAGCACGCTGCTGCGGGCATTGTTGACAGTGCTTCCCACTCCTTGGTTTGCACGACCTGGGGCCCCTGCTAAGTGGGCTCCTGGGCCCCAACACAGGATTCGGATTCAGACTCTGAATGTTTAACAAGGCGCTGGAGGAGGTCGGGGGGTGGTGAGGACAACACACAGAAGTACTTGATTCTCAAAGTAGGGTCTGTGGCATCACCTGAGAAATTGTTAGAAACACGGAATCTTGGACCCTCTGGACCTCCTGAACCCCACGTTTGAGAGGTGAAGCTCTAGGGCACAGTGGCCGGGCAGAGGGGACTAGACATGGCTCTCGTTGCCCCCCTAGTCTATGGTCAGCTTTGAAGGCATCGTATCTCACCTGGGCACCTGCCTCCAAGGCAGGGCACCAGCATCAGCATCACTGGCCTGGGGCCACCCTCACAGCGCCCCTCAGCACAGCATGCAGGGGTGGGCCTTGGGGCCTGTCACCTTTACCCCAAGGGCCCACAAAGTTCAGAGCCCGCAGGCAAGAAGCAGACCCCAGCCCTGCAGTCCCCAATGAGCCCATTAGAGAGCAGACCCCACCCGGCGCCCCAACCTGAGCTGCCTCCACGGCTTTGGGGGGAATGAAGATCCGAGGAAAGGCATACATGGCCCCCTGCAAGGGGTTGCAGTGAATTCCTGGGACTTGGTTAAACAGGTCTTCTGTCAGCTTAGCTTTTTTGGCCAGATTACTCAGGACAGATTCTTTCTCCTGACAGGACAGAAAAGGCACAGGGTCAGCATCTCTGGATCTCATGGCTCGGCTGCAGCCACTGGAAACGGTCCCTTCGAAGCCTGGACGGGTGCAAATGCGAAGGCGGGCTTGAGTGTGCGTGAGCACAGCCAGCCCGGGAGGCGGATGAAACCCATGGCCCGCTGCTGGAATTTTCTCCACACTCAGCCCTGGGGCTACCACATGCCCTGGGGTGCGGGGCCACTCGGGGACAGGGAGTTCCAGGCCACAGGTAGGTCCCAGCTAGCCTGTGTCATGAGCTCTGTTCTCACACCAGGATGTCATTCCCGAAAACATGAACCAGCCCCTGCCCTGCAGCCTGAACCGTCTTGGCCCTGGATGGAACATTCTAGAACATGCTTCTAGGAGATGGCCCACACTTCACTTTTGGGGGCCACCCCTCCCCATTCTTAATCCATGTGATATGCATAAGGCCTATGACCTGGGGACTGGCTCAGAGTTGACGTGTCCAAAGCTGCACAGTCAGCCCAGGACTTGTATAAGTACTGTTGGAAGGAGGAGAAAGGGTGTGCCTGCCGGTGAGTGGACAAACAGGCGCGGCCCATCCACACAGTGGGTTATTACTCAGCTGTGATAAGGAAGCAAATTCTGATGCATGTTACAACAGGGATGAACCTTGCAGACACATGCTAAGAGAAATAAACCAGCGACAAAGGACAAACACTATATGATTCCACTCCTCTGAGGTACTGACAGTCGTCAACCATAGAGGCAGAAAGTACAATAGAGGTTTCCAGGGACTAAGGGGAGAGGCCATGGGGAGTTCTGTTTAATGGGCAGACTTTCAGGTTGGAATGAAAGGGCTCTGGAGATGATGATGGTGATGGTTGCTCAACATTCTGAATGTTCAGTAAAGTGTTCAGTTAAAAATTGCTGAAATGATAAATTTAATGTCCTGTGTATTTTCTCACAATTAAAAAAAAAAATGTGAGCCTGGAACAGCTGGGAACTGACTTCTTGGTTTCATGGCCCATGAGTTCCCTTTTTGTTTAAACTGATCAGAGTTTGTCACTTGCGACTGAAATGGTCTGACTGGATTGCTCTGAGCGCTGAGGACCTCTGATTAGGCCAGAGGCAGGCCGTGGCCTGGAATCAATCCTCTCCCCTGGTAGTTTAGTAACAGAATCCCTGGGTGTTCTCAGGACACACAGCCCTTCTCTCTGGGTGCCCATCCAGGGGTCGCCACATCCCCTTGCAGGCACAATCCTCCCAGCTGCATCCTCAGACTTCCCCTCTGGGGGTACCCAGAGGAACCACGCGCACCTCCTGAAGGCCATCTGGAGAGAGGCAGGCATCATGCCCCTGAACACACCCTAAGTACCTGTGACCCTGGCTGGGGCAGGGGTGCAGACTCACCCTCATGAACTGCTCGAAGGACTCCTCTCCGGGCACCGGGGGGTTCACCACAATGTCCATGGCGGCCTGCCCAGACACTGGTGGGCACAGACGTACTGAGAGCAGCTTCACCAGCTGACCTTTGATCTCAGGGTGCAGGTTGATGACCTCCATGTAGCCTCCCCTGTAGCCACACCTAGGGGGTTGGAGAGGGGGCAGAAGACCTTGACTAAGTGCAATCCGGTCAGCCAGAAGCTTCTGCAGCTATCCCCATGCCCAACACTGAGCGGCCAGGTGTGGTTGAGTTTTTGCCAATGGAAGGTGACCAGAAGTGATCTGTGCAAATTCCACAGGACTTCCTTACATGGAAGAAGCATGCTTTCTCCTTTCTCTTTCATTTTACTTCCTGAGAAACGGAGATGCTGGAGCAGCAGCCTCAGAGCCAGAGATGAACACCACATGCTGGGAGGGCAGGATCGGCCCACCAGCCCGTTCTTGAATGCCCTCGTGGAGCACAGCCTACCTTGGACTTTCCCCCTACCTGGGACTGTTAAGTCGCAGAGACACACACTTTCATCTTGTTTGTATCTCTGTATTTTGGGGACTCCTTGTTGTAGCAGCTGAGCCCAACTAATACACTAGCCTCACTCCAAAGGGGCACAGATTCAGGCCTGGCACCCCGAGCACCAGAGGTCATTCATGGGAGCATCAGCCTGAGAACTTTTGCTGCAAGTTTTTGCTGCCTGAAAGCAAAGTCAACCCAAAGGAGAGCAGAGCGGAAAAAGCAAGTGAGACAAAGGAAGGGAGCAGGGACAGAGTCCCACTGACATCCTTAGGCCCTGGTTCAACTTTACTCCTGAACTTTTTACTGATATGGATGAGTTTCTGTTACTTATCACTAAAGGAACCCAGACTGATAGAGTCGAATCATATGCAAATAAGCTGAAATAAACGAGTTAAAAAAACACCTTTCAGAACCAAATGAGCTCCATCAGTGGTACTTTCTGGAACTGTGCCTCCTTCTCAGGACTGTGACTGACAAGGTCCAGACTAATGACTGCACCAATGCAGGTACCCGAGGCAGGAACCTGGGCTCAGCCTCCTCTCTGCACCCCACACCCTCAGCCTCAGCACTGGGTGTGGCGACACCATCAATAAAACGCTCTTAGAATCACTGGCAAAGACAGGTTCCCCTCTGATCCCTCGACTGGACTTTCCGAGGTGAAAAGACAGACTCTGGCAGCTCAGGTTTTCATTTTCACCGGTCCACAAGCTTGGCCCGATTTCAGACGAGCCCCTGCACCAGCCTGCCCTCACACCACTGGGCTCCCCGAGAAGGTGCGGCCTGTCTGGCTTCTCAGATCGGCAAAGGCCATGCTAAGGGGGGCCCTCGCTGTCCCGGGGGTTGGCCAAGGGGACGGGCAGCCGGGGGCAGCAGGAGGTGGAGCCCACGTACTCGCCCATGTAGCCCTTGGAGGTGGAGTGGAAGGAGGCGAGTTCCACGTTGCTGGAATACTCGGGCCCCATCTCGGAAAGCACCTTCTTAAAGGAGTGGAACCTGCAGTCCGGAGAGTACACGTTGTCCTGGTACACCTGCGGAGGGGACAGGCGCTCAGGCTCAACCCGCATCCAGGGAACACGTGGAGAAGCCCAGGCTCTAATGCTGCTTCTGGGGACGAGCAGAACGTGCCCGAGGAAGCTTCCAGAAGGAGAGGCCTGGTCACAGACTGGTTTCTCTCACACACACCCCCACCCAGTCCCGGACCTTTCTATGTCATGTAACCAGGGACGATAGGGAGACGCTCCCTGCCCGAGCAGGTGCTGCTCGGGTTCAGCGACGAGGGCAGGGCCCGAGCCTGTCCTGGCCTCTCTGCAAGGAGCTGGCCATGGGCTCCCTCGGCCCTTAACCCCTGCCCAGGTTGGACCTGTCTGTCTCTCTGTCACTTCCACCGTCCGCCCCACTAGACCATGAGCACGAGCAGCTCCCAAGCCTGCTTTGTTCTCTCCTACCCTGGGACTCAGCGTCGCGGCAGCGAGCCCACCGGCCACGCCGCGGGGAAGCCCCTGCCTGCCCTCGCCAGGAGGGGTGTGAGGACAGGGCGGAGGCCGGTCACCTCGCCCCTCCACCTCGGGACCTCGGCGAGTGGTTCAGCAATGGGGGTGTGCCCCACGCCGCCCGTGAGGCTCAATCCTGACACTTTTGCTGGAACCAGAGGAAGAAATGCTCTTTCTAGGCTGGACGTCAGCAGGCCTGCGTGTGGGGCCAACACACCAGGACGGAACAAGAGATAATCCGGTTCGAGATGTGGTTTCAGTCCCTAGATCTGCCCACACCTGTAAGCCCAACACCTTATTTATTTTAAGTTTAAGTGGTTTGGGTTAGATTTCTGGAAGTTATAACCAAGAGTTCAAACCAGTGTACGGATGATTTAGGTCACAGTCTGAGGTGGCGACACTGAGCATCCTCCCCTCGGGTAGGTTCTCTCCTCCAGCACCCAGGAAGTTCAGCCAGGCCCGGACCTGCCCCCAGGGGAGAGAGCTCAGCCCCACCCATTCCCAGGGCGTGGCCGCTGCGCTCTCACCTCATCGGCCAGGAGAAAGAGCTTCTCCTCCCACGCGAAGTGGATCACGTCTTCTATGCACTTCCTGCTTTGCACCTGGCCTGACAACACACAACAGAACCAGAATATAGGTTGCACTGCTGTTTAAGTCGTCCCCAAGTAAGAACCGCACCCACAATGACTCAGGTGTCCTGTGCTCCCTGGTGACCGTAAGGGACCACATTCCCTCGTGGCTGTGCCCGATGGGGTATATATAGTATGTTTGTGTGTATATGCACATATATTATTTGTGCATATATATTATGCACATATATATATATGTATCTGATGCAAAGCAGTATGTTGAGTATGTTACCTTTTTGTTACAAACAAAAATACCTTATTCTTGTCTATGCAAGAATATCAAGACTAAGAACTTATATGCATATATGCATAACCCAAGGACACAAACAATGGTTTGGAGAGGGACTGGGGAGGGGAGTGGGGCAGGGTAGAATGGGTCAATGGGGAGAAAAAGGGATATCTGTAATATTTTGAACAAAAATTAATTAAATTGACTAATTAAAAAATAAATTAAAAAAAGAATATCAAGACTATGTCTGAAAAAGTATATAGCTGTATCTTATAAACACAGGGTGTGATTCAGCTTGTATTTTGGCTTTGAACTATCTACGCAACGAAGCAATTCTTTTGCTAAGGGACCAACTTGTGTCTTGCCAAGAAAGTGCCCACCAGGCTTCCTGTGAAGGAACCCCAGGGTTCTGGGATTCTGGGGTGCAGCAGCCTTGGGTGCTACAGGTGGATTTCTATTTTCCATGCCCCATTTCACACATTCAGACCCCAGAGAGAAAACAAACTCCCGCCTGCTCATAAAGTTACACTTTATAAAACCTGCTTATGTTAACATATACTCACAAGAACCCTTTCCTAAAACAGAAAAGACTCTTTCCTGTTGTAATAAAAAAAAGTTATTTATGTAAATACCTGGCCAGGAAATGACCGCCCCTCTAACATAACTGTGAGCAGAGAATTTCCTAAGATGCAGGATTTTATACTCCAAGGGAGGGACCAGCAGCCTCAGTTGGGAGCTTGTTAGAAATGCAAATTCTGAAGCCCACCCCAGCCGATCACATCAGAGTATCTGGGAGTGGGGTCCAGTGGCTTGTTCCTTGACACAGCTGCCCCCCCCCCTTTTCTGGGGTGCGGCCTGGCCTGGGCATTTCTAAAAGGCTCCCTTTGTGATTCTAATATACAACCAGAAAGGAGTAGCTGACTCCTGGTCCCTTTCTCGGCTGCCTGGTTAGAATCGTCATCCCTCCCCCCAGGGGCTGGTGCAAATACACCCTTTACAGCCAGCTGCCCACAGTCTGTGCTCCAGAATTCGAGTGGCACTTCCAGCTGAGGGGAGCACATTTGATGTTCCCAAGAAGCAGATTCCACAACCAACTCCAACGCGTTTCTGGCCCTGACCCAATTTATCTCAACAAAGGAGAGAGGGGCCCTTGTTCTCGGCATCCAAACAGCATCCAAACAGCATCAGGGCCTAGGAAGCCGGCAGCCCAGAAAGACCAAAACACACAGGACTGTGTTTATTTATTTACTTTTTTTTAAAGAAAAATATGCGCCCGGCCAGGTGTGGCTCAGCGGTTGAGCGTAGACCTGGGATCCAGGAGATCGGGGTTCAATTCCGGGTCAGGGCACATGCCCTGGTTGCAGGCTGCAGCTGATCAATGACTCTCCCATCATTGATGTTTCTATCTCTCTCTCTCCCTCTCCTTTCCTCTCTCTGAAATCAATAAAGATATATTTAAAAAAAAAAAAATGCAAAATTAGGAGTGATTTTCAGCTTCTGGAAACAGTTTTAGTATTTTTGTTTCTTAAAATATAGCATTTCCTTTCCAGGCCTCCAGGTCCACGGAAATGCTAAGAAACAAAACACACACCGGCATTCTGGGAACTGGTCCAGAAAAACAAGGCGAGGCCTGCGATGAATAGTGAGAGTAACCTCAAGGAGGAGACTGCAAGTGCAAGGACAGGAGCAAACACTGGCCTAACAAATAACCCAACCCTGCCCAGAAGAAGGCCAGCGCTGGCTCACCCCCGGGGGGGCTGCAGCACACTGTAGGGCTTTTATGTTAGCTAGTGAATCTGGAATTGGATTGGGAAACCAGGAGGAAAGAGGGCTTCCCATCATTTCTTAACTTTAGCGCCCCGATGTGCAACGCATCCGTGCCCCGATGTGCAATGCACCCGCGCCCCGATGTGCAAAGCATCCGCGCCCCGATGTGCAATGCATCCGCCCCCTGCTCTGCCCGCAGGACACTGGCGAGGAAGTGAGCACAGACCTGTGGGGTTCCCGGGGTTGATGATACACAGCACCTTGGGGTCACAGTGCTCTTTGGCCTCCCGCAGGGCCCTCCGGAGCTCATTCACATTCAGGGCCCAGCAGTTCTCCTCGTCCAGGTAATAGTTCACCTGGACAGCATCGAGCTCAGAGATAACTGCGGAGTAGAGGGGGTACTGGGGGATGGGGATCATCACCCCCGTCCGCGACTTGCCGCCCCCGGAAACCAGGATCTTCAGGATCGTCTGCAAAGGAGAAGTCACATCTTCCAGGGCCACCACTGTGCCCTAGCCCTTGGGGCTGCCAGCAGACCCCTGGCCACCCCACTGCCAGCCCCCAATGCAGCCCCGTGTGAGCTACTTAACATCCCTGAGTCTCACTGTCTTTCCTCATCTAAAATGAGGTCTGCTCTGAGGAATAAACAAGATAAAATGCTTTCATGTTCCCAGCACCATGCCTGGTAGAGGAGGCGCACAGGACATGCTGAGTGAGAGAAAGGCCAGCGTGGCCAGAAACACAGGCACCCCCGCGGGCCCCACGGAGCCTCCCAGCTGGACCTGCTGCTGTGCACTCTGCGGGAAACCGAGGCTGCAGCACACCCAAGCTTCTGAAGACTAAACCGAGGGAAGGACAGCAGGCTCCCAGGGTGGGGAAGAGAGCAGGGGCCAGAGCGGCCCACCCACCTCCCAGGCCTGTCGCCTGGCCAGCCAGCTCACATGCTTGGCCCTAACGTGCAAGGCTGCCCTTCATGTGGGTGAACACCGGCTAGCAATGGTCCCCCTCACACGTACTGAAATGCCGTCGCTCGCTCCAGTGGTCAGGTAAATGTTGTCTGGGTCTGCAGGCACGCCGCCGTCTCTCCGGGTGATGTAGGCAGCCACATCTTCGCGGATGCAGTTAACACCCTGGCTGGCACTATAAGACCCTGTGAGACAGCAAGCAGACAGTGACCAGAGGCTGATTGTCCTGCTCTAGTCAGTGATATCTGTACATGAAATTAATAGAGGAGGGGGGTTGGGGATGTCTCAGTAGGGCTGGACTCCCACTACTCTAAGCTCTGGAAACGTGGCAAACTGTTTAACCCACCCATCCATCCATCCACCCACTGATCCACCCACCCACCCAGCCATCCACTCATTCATCCAATATTCATTGGCAAGCGACTATGTCGAGCATTATTCTAGGTCTTGGCTTCTAACCAGTTAAATGGTGCCCATACCTGTGTCACCTGCCCCCTGGGATTTACATGCATCCTATGACAGTATAAATCATAGCAGGGATTGCTTTGTTTTATCACTGGTGCCTACACAAGGTCCACCAAACTGGAGAATGGGTCAACCCAAAGTGGCACCACCTGTCCACCCCAGAAGTCAGTCCGCAGCCCTGACCAAAACCAAGCACAGGTCCTTGGGGCTGCTGGGCATGACCCCCTACCCATGTCAACATTACCCTCAGGCTGCCATTTAGGATTAAAATCCAGACCAACATTTATACAACATGCAAAAACAGGCAAAGCCAGTTTGCAATGCTGGATGTTGGAGGAATGGTGACCACTCGGTGTGGGGGCATCAACTGTAAAACAGCAAAAAGGAGCTGTCTTCCTGCCTCCGGCTCACCCGCCTCCCTGAATTCCCAGGCCCTCGCCCACCAGCCACTCCTGCAGGCTAGATCTTCCAGCCTTTGCATTTAGATCTTGTCACACTCCAAACCACACCAATCCCCAAAGCTTGCATCTTGTCTCTCTCCAGGTCTGTCCTGAAGACATTGGCCATCCCAGCCTCTCTCCTGGCCATTAATCCCACAGTTAGTTCACTTTGTACACATGAAGCCCTGCCGCTCCCCATGCTGACAAGTTCCTGGAGCGCAGGGATGGACCACTGCCTGTTTCTCCTGTGTATCTCAGCTAGGGCACCTGCCCCCTGCTGGGTCCCACCCCCACCCCGAGAGGGCGCTACTCAGGACACAGGGCTGGTGGGTGACCACAGCCAGGAAGGTGAGGATGGGGTTCTTGATAAAGGGGCAGAGTAAAAAGGAGGAGGGCAGAGGCAGGGAGATGACGGAAAGGCAAGGGTGGCCGAGCCCCTGCTGAGCAAGCCACAAGAATCCCTGTCCCACTTTCCGGAACATTCAGGCGCGTGTCCTAAAAAAGCTCTAAGAGCAAATATGTTTTCTCTGGGCGAGGGAAGCAGGATCCCCTGTGTAGGCGCTGGGCAAGGAATGGAGGGAAAATAAAGAGAAAACCAAACAGGAGGTGAGAACCAAGAGCAGAGGCCCGGAGGTGGAAACCATCTCCGCAGGAGGGAGAGAGAATGTCATTTTCACATCCACAGGGGCGAAGCTCTGGGGAGGCAGGCGCTGGGCTGGGCTCCCAGCAAAGAGGACCGCAGGCTGGCGATAGGAACACAATGAAGTGGGAGGGTGGGTGGCAGGGTCAGAACCACAGAAGCCACCAAAATGGGGCCAGAGGCATGTGGCAGCACTATGGTTCCCGAAGGGACTGCCAGCTCCCAGGCCATGCGGGGACATGCTGGGGCTGCAGAGAGACAAGAACGATGGACAGAGCTGGGCACCGAGCTTCCACTCTGCCTCCTGTTGCTGAGGCCGGGCACTGGTTAGACCGTCTGCTGACAGAGGGCTGTGTCCAGGCCGGCTCCCAGGGCAAACCCAAATCCAGCCAAGGCAGGCACTGTGCTTACGGTCTCCCAATCCACCAAAAGGTGGCATTTACCCCATTGGCTCAGCAAACAGGAGGCTAACAGCCAAATGAGATGAGGACCACTGTTCTGCATTGCTCTGCATGCCCGGTACCCCCTACCCCCCACTCACTCCCACCCACACCCCTGGTCGGCCCAGGCCCAGGCCCAGAACACGTTTGTTTCCCGCCCTCCAGGACCTGGCAGGTCGGGCCTCACCCAGGCTGTTCCCACCACAGGCCTGTAGGATCCGTCGGGCTCGCTTCTTAGCATCTTCTGGAAAGCTGGGGCTGTCCAGGAGGTTTGGGTAGGTGCAGAGTGCCATCACCTGGGGGGACAGAGGCGCAGGCTGGGCTCCTGGTATCCCCCAACCCAGAGCACCAGGAGGGGCACGAAGAACCCCAGGCAGGGCACAGTGTGAAGGTGATAACTCTGAGGCCCATGGGAGCTGGGGGTGGGTGGGGAGGAGGGCACTGGGCTCTCTGCAGCGGAAGGGGAAACAGGAGAGGCAGGGTGCCTGATGACCTGGGCTTGGGGCCCAAGGCTGGGCTGCCCCAGGAGCAGCCGGGGAACAGAAGGAGGCTGCTGCTCAGTCCCCAGCCCCCACTCTTCCACAAAGGCCAGTGGCTCACCACCCAAGGCCATAAGAACCAGGGGTCTCCTGGGCAGGGGGCCAGGGCTGAGCAGGCAGCACAGAGCCCATCCCAACTCATAGGCTGAGCTCCATCCCTGTCGCCGGGAGCCCCCTCACCATCACTCCTTTCCTGGCCAGACTTGAAGTCCAGCTCAGCTTTCTTATCTCTGTAACAGAAAAGCACCCTAACCTCCCAAATTAAGAGGATTAAGCAAGGGAAAGTTTGCAGAAGTGCCAGTAAACCCCAGCTCCCCAGGCAAGTCTAAGCCGGCAGCTTAGGAGCCTGCAGGAGCTGGGAGGAGCACTGGGTGACTTCGAGCCCAGCTTTTCTTCCTTTGTACAATGGCAGTGACCCAGCTTACCCTCCCCCCAGGGGCCCTTCGAAGATCAGGGGGGAGGTGTGAGGCTGGAGGAGGCCAGCACCAGGCAGGATAGGCTGGGCCTGCCACTGCCATGGCAGGCCCAGATTTGGAAATGTCACCCAGCCAGAAAAGGCCGAGGCAACAGGAGCCTATCCACACTGGGAACCCCAGGCATGTATGAGGAACCTCTGCGACAGAGGCCAGTTTGAGCCCTGTCCCTCCAAAGCTGCGTGCTTCCAGGACAGCCAGGCTCTGACCTCCTCCAGCCTCCACCTCCCAGGCAGAGCCACCCTGTTTGGTCTGATCCACTTCCCCATCCCGGCCCAGCTGATGTGCACGGGCAGCTGGCATGATCCTGAGATCAGTGCCAGCCTCTGTTTTTCTCCCCCGAACCCGTGTGAGCTCCCTGCTGGCTGAGCCCCTGCACCCCCGCACCGTTCCACGCCATCCAGACAGCAGGGCAGGGCAAAGGGAACTGGGGTGTTCAGCTTCCCTGCCTGCCCCAACCTGCAAACCTGAGCCACACAAGGAACATGTTTTGCTCCCAAACGGGCCCCTATTGCTTGTGGAAAAAGTGCTCACCACAGCTGGTCCCCAGCCTCTGTTCAGAAGGCCCCACTGCCCACCAATCCCACAGTTTCAGCCCATGCAGCATCTTTGTGGCTGACATTCAAACTGAAACACTGAAGCCTGCCTCCTGGAGACGACAGGACAAGCTGGGCCACATCAGCAAGGTCGCCAGGAGAGCGGCAGCTGACAAAGGTCGGAGACCGCACGCTCTCCTGCAGGGCCAGGGGCCAGGCCTTCGTGCCCATCATGTCATCGGGGCCAGCAGTCCCAGGCAGTGCGCTGGTGAGCTTGCTCAAAGCCATGTGGGCCAACACTTACGTGGGAAGCCTCGCTACCCACCCACCCCTCCAGTGCCCTTGTCAACCAAGCTCCAAACTCAGTACCCAGGACCCAACACCATGGCAGAGCCTCCCAGGGAGCCTCGTCCACCATAGCAACCCCACTGTGGGGTTAGGAATTTGAGACAACTTTGAAAGGGAAGGAGGCTGAGGGAGAGAACCAGGGATAGTGGGCACTGGAGGGGCTGCTACTTCAGTGGCACCTCCCTATGGGATTCTCGTGCCTGCTGTGTCCTGAGGGGCTGGACAGGGAGTGAGGCAGAGGGGAGAGGAGCTAGCTGGCCCTCCCAGCCTTGTTTCCACTTTCCCAGTGGCCTCGGCTCCCGAGGGCCAGCTCACCTGTCGGAGGAAGGTGATTGGCTGCTGACCCATGGCCTGGGCGTCCCCAATGTTGGCACGGATGACCTCAGTGAACGGTTTTTTGATACCCTGAGCAGAGAGAAGGCAACAGCTGGTTACTGCAGAGACTCTCAGGCCCTGGACTCCAGAGGCCAAGCAAGGATCCCACAGGATATTAACAGGCAGCCCTATTTTGAGCCTCACCAGGTGCCAGGCATAGTGCCAAGCCCTTGACATGCCTGGTCTCACTTAACCATCACAACCACCACCCTGTGAGGAAGAATTAGTATTAACCCCATTTTACAGATGAGGAAATTGAGGTTTCAAAGGGTACAGAAACTTGCCCAAGGTCACATAAACACTAAATACAAGCACTGGGGCTTGAAGCCAGACCCTATGCTCTGCTGTCTCCCCCTTTCTGAGGAGGCTGGAAGAACTCTCCTGTTCTGCCAGAGCACCCGCGGGAGGCAGCTGCAGGCCCACAGCCCAGGGTGGCCTCAGAGTGATGTCTAAATGAGGGTCCTGGGGCGAATGTGGTGACAGAGGGAGGCCCAGGTCAGCAGGAGAGGATCCCACTGCCCCCCGCTCCTGCCCCCAGGTGCAGCTCCACCTGGACAGCCTGAGTAAATGGCCAGGGGACTGTGGACACTCCCTCCCAGAAGACACCCATCACAGGGACCTCTCAGGGTCAGTCCCTTGCAACCTTGGCTTTGCAGAATGACGAATGTGGGCTGATTTTCCCATAAAAAAAGCATTAGGGAAGAAAAGATGGGCTGAAGAGCAAAACCCAGGCCATGGCCTAAGCACAGAAAAGAGATTTCAGAGAGCAGAGGAATCAGAGACCCCAGTGACAATACCACTGGGGAGGTGACAAGGACACCAGGTTTGGATGAGGGGCTGCGGGCATCTGGAAACATGAGGATTCCACCCAGCTCCCTGTAAATCCAGCCTCAGCCACTGAAAAGTTAGAATCAACAACAGGTTCAAGGACCTCCCAGGGCAGCTGCAAAGATGGTCAGAGACAGAATGCAAATCTCATGGCAGAGCTCAGACATCATCATCTTGCAAAGCTGGCCCAGGAGCAAGCTTGCAAGGGTCTCAGTGGAGGAAGAAGGTGGCAAAGCAGTGGCAGTGCCAAGGGGTGACCCAGCTGGAAGGCCGGGCCACCTTCCCATCCGTGGCTGCCCTTTCCCTGGAGGCACCCTCGATACAAACAATAAAGACAGAATTCTATCATTTCCACACTAGCTTTTTTCTCCATTTCTCCCAATGTTTGAGTAAAGGCAACTTTAGAAAACGTTCCCTTTTTTAATCAGTAAAATACACCTTAAGTAAAAACCAGTGGGGTGAAGGGATGAAAGCAGCTGCAATCAAGTGTTCCTGACCTTCCTTTCCACCCCAAACCCCTCCCCCATAGAAATGCTCCAGCTGCTTCTGGAGGAGGCATGGCAAGCTGAGGGGGGCGCCCCAGAAACGGCCCTGGACCTTCACAAACAGGGCTTGATAAGGCTTCAAAAGCCATGTTTCTGGGGGAAAAAGAGGCCTTTCAATTCCTTCATGCCCTTCTGCCGAGTTCTTCAGGGCTGGCCAGTAGGGAAAGATGTCTCAGGGGGCATGGAGGAGCCAAGGCGTCCCGAACGCCGAGGCACGGGGTGGCGCTGCCCACTGCTCCGGGACTAGGCCATGGGTTAGAGGAGGCACCGCGGAGACAGGCCGTGTGGCGGGTGGCCTCAGGGCTCATCTCACAGGCGGGAGCCAAGGGGGCCGGGCACCAAGGAGCGACCCAGGCCACCGTGCAAAGGGGCGGGCCTGACACGCCCCTCGGTACTGGCCTGGGCTCCTGGCACGGACCTTCCGTCAGCCCGGCTGAATTGCTGCGGCCCCCAGGCCTGGCCAGCTGAAGGCAGGTGATTTCCAGGGCAGAGCACAGTCCATTCTCCAGCGAGAGTGAATCTCACATTCGAGGGCGGGAACCAGCGCAGCTTGGGAGCGCCGCCGGCGCAGCGAGGGCACAGAATAATGCCTGGAACAGGGCCCTGGGCCGCCGCGCTGCTCAGCCAATTCAGGGCCCGCCGAGGAGGGCCTGGCAACACCGAACACCTCCTTCCTCGGGTCTGGGTGCTGTGATGGATGAGCCAGGGGTGGGAAACTGGCTCTCTTGAATGATAGGGGACCAGCCTACCCAGCCAAGGGCTGCCATACAAACTGTTCTGGGCAGACTCCTGCCCACACTGACCCATGGGTGGCCTGGTCTCATCCTAGCCCCCAGGGGCCTGCCAGGTCAGTACGTAGCATCCTCGTTGCCCTCACAGCATCCTGGAGCCCACCTGTATCATCCACCTGCACACACACTGCCCAGAGCTGCCTCCCTGTGGGGCACTCAGACAAGTTCCTACCCAGCTCCCTTCCCACCAATTTGGCTCAAGTAGGGACTGGGGAGCAGGCTGCAAGCTCTGGGGATGGTGGCTCTCAGAGAGCCAGTGGGGAAGAGGGAAAAGGAGGATCACTGTCCTCCTCACAGGCCCAGAGTCACCATGAGGGTAAGGGGGCGACGGATGAGTCCTACAAGTTTCTTTCTTTTAAAGTAGAATCTAAACTCTAAAGAAAATGACCAATCAGATTTCCCCACCAGGGTTTCCAGTCGGGGACCTCTGTGGCTGTGTCACACACTGATGTTGACAACAGCGATTAGCTCTTCTCTCCAGCAGGGAATGTTTTGCCCCAACAGCGAGTACTTTACAAATAGAAGCAAAGAGTCTTCTTGTGCCAACTTCCTTCCCCCCCCGCCCCCAATAAAGCAAGGGAAAAAGGAAGTAGGTAGAACTGACATCTTGTCTTTCTTCTAAGGGCTGGAATAAAAAACTTAATAGCCACACTGAAGAAGGAAGAAAAAAACATGTAAAGTTAATTTCAATAATTTTAAAACTCAAATATCAAAAACAATTTCAGAAGTGACATCTTTTCAAACTCCTGCCGATCGCAGCTTTTTAAAAATTTTTTATCATATATATTGATTGATCAATTGATTGATTTCAGAGAGAGGAAGGGAGAGGGAGAGAGAGAGAAACATCAATGATGAGAGTCATTGATCGGCTGCCTCCTGCACGGCCCCTGCTGGGGATCCAGCCCGCAACTGGAGCATGTGCCCTAACAGGGAATCAAACTGTGACCTCCTGGTTCATAGGTTGACGCTCAACCACTGAGCCACGCCAGCCAGGTGCAGCTTATGTTTAAATGCTGTTCCCAGTGAACAGGGGGATCTGAAAAGCTGATCAGCTCTTCCCTCAGTGCTGCTGTCAGAGAGAAAGGAGAAACAGGGCCTCCAGAGCAAGCAGAGACCCCAGCTGGAGGAGAATGGTCCCTTTCACACCCACTCAGCGGCCCTCCACTCCAGCTTTCCTGAGCATTCTCCACACCCATCACAGAAGTGGGAAGGACTGGCCTCACCCAGCAAGCTGCCCCAAAGCCAAACATCAGAGCCACGTGTCCAGCCAGACGGCTCTACTGTTTGCAGAGTACCTGGTGAGTCTGAAGCATATACAGGCCTTGGTATCACCAGGGGCCATCTCGAGTTCCCCAGACCAGCATATGAGGTTCACCCCAAGTTACCCTACTCACTACAAATCTTCCCCCATCCCATCTAGGACCAAATTGAACCCCTTATAACAGAAGTCCACTCTTGATCATTGCAGTTCAAAAGAGAGGTAAAGAAACCAAAGCTGGGCCAAGCCAAACCAAAAAAAAAAAAGTCGTGAAATCCAGGGCTCTCTCAGAAAGGGACTGTTGAAGCTAGCACAGTGGAGAGACTGTCTCCGGAATGAGAGGCTCGGGAAGGCTGTGCTGGGAAGGGCAGTGCTAGCTTGGCCGGGGCTCGCTCTCCAGCACCAACAGCCAGGCAACTGGAACCCGGCAAAGAAAAACAGCGAATGGGAAGGGATGAGCTGTGTTTCTGGTTCAAGTGACCAAGAAATGTGTTCGCCTGCAATCATCGAGCCATACCCCACTGGAAATCCTTCCTGGTCCCCACTTTAACACCCAAACTTTGCACCTTAAACACTGAGCCCAGCATACAAAGGTCAAGTCCATCTTTCCCATGTCATCTCGTCTCTCTCTGACCAACAACGCTCTCCAGGCAGCAACAAATCCCCTTCCCCAAATGCCCAGAATGTCCAGATCTCCTGTCTTTGCTCACAGCCCTGCTCTCACGTTTTCTCTGCCTGCTAAAAAAAATCCCACTGATTCTTAAAGGACTGGGGGAGGGGAGGCTCAGGCCCAGAGAACAAGAGCAGCCAGCTCCCTGGAGGCAAAGGCAGTGTCCCTTCCAGTCCTAATCGTCCTCATGCAAGTTGCTATTTAGCAAAATGCAGAGATAACCCCTGACCCCTGGCCAGCTCTGGAGCCAGAGAAATCAGCTGAAAAGTGATAAACCTGGAGCAATTTAACCTCAGCTTTGTTGTGACTGGGAGATTGCTCCAGCCTTCCAGATATCAACAAAGAGGCAGAGCAGCAAAACCCTGTGCGCCCCGCCCCCACCCACCTCCGGGGAAGGAAGGGAGAGACACCAAGGCAGCCTTCCTTGCCAAGCTTTAAACTTAGCCCTGCAAGGAGCCAGAGGGAGACACTGGACCCTGACTTGTCCAGCTCACTGCTTTCAGTCAGCAGAACTGGGTGTCCCAACAAGGTGTCAGCAGGCCACAAGCTCATCAAATCCCCAAAGTCCCCAAAGGAATGGGTCCCACGGCGGCTCCCTGCCAGGCATTCTGGGACACTAAGTGACCAACTCACAGAGAGATCCAGTTCTGGTGCCTCTGAAAGCAAGATTCAGGAACCTCCCCCACCCCTGTTCTGGGTCAGAACTATCTTGAGCAACATTGTTCAGCTAACTATTTTACACTCTTTCATCAGTTCCTACAAATCTTAGGAGTGTTTACCTTTTGGCATTCCCCTCTTGACTAACGGTGAGAAGTCCTACAGAGGCACCTCTTACACCCATGGCAGCCACCTTGCTTGTTCAGAGGCAGAAATCACTCCTGGGCATGTGGTCACTTTACATGCAGCTATGACCTCAAGCCAAGATCCCAGCTAGCTGGCCACCAAGACGAAGAAAGTCTCTACCAAGGCCCAAAAGGCCCAAGTGTCTGACTTCCCGACAGCTCCCTGAGGGGTGGCTGTCAATCAGGGTTCCAGAGAAGGCCAAAGGAAGGAACTAGGCAGGGCTAGTTTCCTCCTGGGGCCCCTACTCTGGTCAGGGACTCATTACTGGCAGAATGATCCAAAGGTCTCAGACATGGAGAGAAAAAGTTTGGGATACACCACCCCTCCCCTCCTCCCTAGTGATCGACTTCCCCCCACTACCACTCGGCACCCTATCCCTTGGCCCCTCCATTCTACTTTCTTCAAAGGATTTATTCACGCTCTCAAATTCTCCTGATCTCTCCACTGCTCCTTGCTGAACCTCCACCCCCACCCGCCTAAGGATCTGGGTTCCAGGCGGGGAAGGCAGCAACGGGACTTGCAATGCCGGGCACTGCAGGCCGCTCAACAAGTGAACCGCAACCGAGGCTGAGCCTGCCGAGTGCGGGGCACCGGCGGGTGAAGGGTGGGA